AAAAAAAATCGTTCGTTATACTGAGGAGTTCGTGATATAGAGGTTCGTTATGGCGAGGTTCCTCCGTATATAAATTCCAAATTTTTAGTAGCCTGTGAACAGGCTCTCTGTTTGGGGAAATAAATAACAAGGAAAGTTCCCCGCTCGACCAAAGGCCTGTTCACAGGCTAAATTCTTACTGTTGCCTTTATTGGATTTACGTATTAAAGATTTTCTTTCTACTTGATTAATCGCCAAAAATGCACGGTTCCCTAGTTTCAATAGCCCTTGCTGTGAGCTTATATCCATAAACAGACAACACTTTTGAAACAGGGTTTACAGAACATAAAAGTCAGCCATGATTTAATATATTAGATTGAAATGCATTTGCATTTTAAAGGTTTCCCTGGTGCATATTGTTTATCCTTTAATTCACGCGTACCACGCATAAACATCAGCACATGTCTGACCACTGTTATCGCTTTCGTAACAGTCCTTTAAGTCATGTCCGTACCAAATTTGAAACTCATCTCCAACAGACACAGATATTGGAGAGCGGAGATTGTTAAATCGAAGTTCGTTGTCATTAACACCTACACCTTCGATCTTATATGGATAACCACAACGTTCTGTGTAATCTGCCAACAAAAGAGCGGATCTGTTCTTGAACGTTATGACGGTTAGGAGTCTCGTGTCTCCAAAGCTGGGATTGTTACATCCCCAATAAGAAGGTGGGATTGTGGGGATACATTTAACTGACCCACTCAGATGAACGAGTTTAAAGGTATGAATGACCCCACTCTCTCTGATGTTGAAAGCCCCATATGAGTTATCTCGAGCTCCAAAGCAGACTAGGCCAGTATTGATCTTCTTCCAGTTCTCTGAAAATAAAAAATAAAAAACATTTGGACACGAATTTTTAAACTAAGTTGATACTTTAAGTCGAGCACGTGTTATTCTGCTTTCGATGAGTGTCAGTAAAGTGAAGTAATTAAGAGGATAAGGCTCAGGGAAAAGAGATAAAGGTGGTTATAGAATCTGGGGTCTTTCATGATAGGGGTCGAATTTAGAACGTATTACGACCTCGGGTATAGAGGATATTGCATATTATACTATTACATTATACTATTATTATATTATACTATACTCTGAAATGATGACAGGCTCATTGACACTACATCATCAACTGACGTGATAAAACTCACTTTGACTCTGAAGTTGACTACTGCACGGGTTGTCGAGACGTCAGTCACTAACACGCCTCGGTACAGTTTATGTTCAGCAAAAGAAAAATGTGTAAGTCTACCAGCACCTTTATGCAATAGACAATTTAGACAAGACGCGCGTATTCCCACCTGTTAAATAAATTGTCCCTTTTATAAGATTCGCGCGAAAGTAATTTTCCATAGATGCTTTTATCTAAGGTATCGTCTTTTAAGAGGCAATGTCCCTAAAAGCGTTCCACTCGATTTCAGACTCGAAAACACTTTTGCCTTATATTTATATCATCAATACCACTATCCATCCTTATAACGAAAATGCAGTTAGAATGAGGAAATCGTTTATTTTACTGCCATTATCGGCATTTCATCTCTGAACGACCGTTACCTGGAAATTTTAGACGCTGTTATTCAGGTTTTTCAACGATCGTTAAAAGCTAATGCGGGCCGTTAAAACCTAGACCATTTGCACTCATTTGGAAGTATATTGCTTCTTCTTATTGTTCCTATACGATTTAGCCGTATCTCTCTGTAATCAGCAAAAACAGGTTATCTTTATTCTCGTAATTCAATTAAGTAAGCAAACTGCACCAAAATATGCCTCAGAAATTTCACAAAATTCTTAAAAGTGGCACCTAACCTAGACTTTAAAACATGTTTTAGTTAAAGATAAAGAGGTATTCTATCAAATTATGCAATAAAACTTGTGGCACAACGCGGTTCAGAATTAAAGTTTGCGGTTTAAATTTGCATATTGTTGCTGAATTTTCATTGCGTGACGCCGGCTGCTTTGACAGAAAAATTTCTCGTCCAGTTATCCAAATATTTGCCACGTCTTCTATTTTCCAACCAAAAACTAATTTATCTCTCTCTTCTTTCTTCTTCAATGATACCTGTTGTTCCAAACTTCCGCAGGTGTACGTAAGATGCAGTTTTAAGCTTCATAAAATACCCAGTTATCCCAACATTTGTGTTAAAGTGCAGTGTTGTTTAAATTGTCAAGATGGAGATTTTAAATTTCTTTTCAGAACCAAACCTCTTTTACTTTAAAATGTGGTGAGTGTAGCTAAATGTCGTGGGTCGTGGGTCGTGGGTGTGAGTCGTGGGTGTGGGTAATTGTCGTGGGTAAAAAAATCTTCCAAAAAGAAATACAAATTAAAAAATTAAATAGCAAAAAGTTGTAAAAGTCATGAAACGAAAATCTCCGCGTACATACCAGTCCTATTCTCCTTCCCCACGGTCAGCAAAGCAAACAACCGAATCCTCTAGTAAAAACGGACGCTAAAAAGACATTTAGGTGAAAAATAAAAGAAACTCTGTGCACTATGTAAACCTGAAGCAGGCTATACAAAAACTGGAGACTGAACTGCTTTTTCTCAAAGATGTCAACATTCGTGAGTGAAACGTCCTTTCAGTTTAAGGAGTGATATTTCGAATCGTTACAGCAAAGAGTTTGTACACAAAACAAAACAAAAAGTAATCGAGAAATGTATTGTATTTCCGTACGGCAATAAAATATAGATACAGTCTCGCCTTAACTTGAAAGGTTGGGAATGAAGGTGGTTCCTTCGTAAGGTAAGAAACCTAAAACTTCTATCCAAAAATGTGAAATACCTAAAAATTGTCCTTTTCCCTTCCCTTTCTGACGGTGATCGCATTCCATCATATTAAAAAATCTCCACTGATCATCGGAATTGTAGATCGAATAAAGATAAATAGTGAGCAGCTATTTCCATTCAGCGAGTCAGAGCTGTCCCATAGTTCCTGCAAATTGCAGGTATAATTTACGTCTGTTTCGTTTATTTCGCAGCTGTAGCTCAGGTATGGATAAATCGTCATCGGTAAAATGTCTTTTATACAGAGATGCTGTGAAAGGGGAGCCAAGTCCCACAGGAAGAGGACGAAGAAGCCTTGACGAAAAAGGCAATCAAGGAGTTGGAGATATTCGTTTCGCAAATATTTTACAACTTTTTTCTATTTATTTCTTTTTTTCAATTACTTTACTTTATCACTTATTTTCTATACTTTTTTACCCACGACATTTACCCACACCCACACCCACACCCACGACCCACGACCTCTACCCACGACCCACGACCCACGACATTTAGCTACACTCAAATGTGGTCCAGTGTGAAGCAGCTGCATTACCCAGTATCTGATACGACTTAATCTCCATCACATTTTAAAAAGGAACGTTAGATGTTAAAAAAGTAAATCTCCCACGGTGTTATTAAATATGCGCGAACAGGTCAGAAACTTTTGGACAAGAACTACAAGAACTGCAATGCGGACTGCGAATAAATATTTTTGCTTTATTTAATTATCACTTAACAGGAGTTCACATTTTTATCTAATTTAAAGACCTTTCCTAATGAAATTTCAATAAGATAGTTTCGTCCTGTCACTGTGTGTTTCTTCTATTGAGAGTGGTCAGCTTTATTTCTCACGCTCCTAGGGCCACAGTCCGGGATCCAACCCTACTCCTCTCACACAGCCAGTTGGCAGCGAAGTTGGCACGCGCAAATACTACAGCGCTGATACCACAACTTCAACATGAATTTCGAATCGTGCAGCTTTGGGCAAATTAAGAAAATAGCGTGTGGAAGTTCGCGCAGTTTGTCCCAAATGGTTAAAGTAGATGAATGTCAGGACACAATTACGACTCAGCTTGAAACCTGTCATCTATTAAAGTCTGAACTCAGTGAAGCGGAACTAATACTGTCAAGGGCCGGCCATTTTGACCTTACGAAAGATCAAGTACAACAGATGGTAATTTGCCCACAACATCGGCATAAACTCGGAAAATTTTGGCGGCCACCTCGTTCTTGCCAGTATCCATCGCATATTGGCCCAGTAAAAAACATTGTAACGAAAGGCATGTAATTGGTTTGGAGACTGCGAAGAACATCCAGTCGGTTTTTAAAGTCACCGTGGGAATAGGATCACGTAAGAATTAAAAATCGTATAATACCGTAAAATTCCGAAAATAAGCCCCGGGGCTTATATTTTTCAAAGACCGTTTTTGAGGGGCTTATATTTGGAGGGGCTTATATACGGAGGAAAATTTGCGTTTCAAAATCGATTGGGCTAGCCGTGGAAACATTTACCTTTTTTGCTTTGTTTTACTTTGTATTTAAGGGCAATTTTCCAAGTTCAAGCCCCGGGGGGCTTAATATATTTGGAGGGGCTTTTTTTATACACGGAGGGGCTTATTTTCGGAATTTTACGGTAATTTAATTACTTAATTCTTTATCAAGATGAGTGTTTTTTTTCTTTGAGAAGACAAAGAGAAAAGGGAAAATTTTTTGATGATAATGATAATGACGACGGTGATGATGATGACAAAGTACTGTAATTGTTACTCTTGTCATAAAAATTGCAAGACCATGATGAACTCAGTAGTTCACTCAATCTTTTCTATTCAGCAAAATGTGGGAAGTGTAGAGGCAAACATAAGGAAGTGATGGACAAAAGTAGGAAATGGCTTAAGTTAGATCCCGATAAGGAAGAAGAATGCGATCCACATCACAGTGCTGCAGCTTACGGCTTAAGAAACAGGTAAACGATCGTTGTTGGCGGCTATCTACCTCTCCTTGTAGTCGCCTGCGTTTTCCGTGTTGGTGATGTAAAAAATTGACATCTGAACAAACCCCTTAAAGGTCTTGGGATATGTAAACACTTTTCTGAAAGATCGGCATTCGGGCCCTTTCAAGATCAAAGGTACATACCGGATTTACTAAATTACGCGCTGCGGCATTTATCATTCCGATTTTGCGACTCGACTGCGGCGCTCATTTGCGGAATGCGATTATTTTGAGGGTGGCGTTTGCTTAAAAATCCTCATAGATTTATAAAAAAAATGGTTACTTTCGCCGTTCCGAACTACAAAACAGTGCTAGGCAGAAAAATAAGTTTCCCTCACTGTTTTAGGAAGAGTGTCATGTTCGGGTTCGGGTTCAGTTTCTTGCTTTCACGGGGGGGGGGGGGGGGGGGGGGGGGGTTTCTAATAGGATGTCATAGCAGACTGTGTTCTAACTGGAGTTGGAAGTTGAGGGTTGAGTGGGTGTAGGGCGGTGTTGTGGCGTGGGGGGTGTGGGGGGGGGTGGTGCGGGGGTTCGGGGGTGGGTGGGTGTGGGGGGGGGGGGGGGTCGTGGAGGAGGAGCTTAAATAGGGGCAGCACTTTATCAAGGGTGACGCAATATGGCGTCGATAAGATATGTCGGTTTAGTTAAGAGGTCCGAAGGGCCGAAAAAATTTTTTTGGGGGATCGGGCCTTTAATTATCTCAGGGTCTGGACGACTACCTGAACAATTGCGTCCGTCTCCAAAGTATCCATCGTTGCAAACACATTCAAAGGATCCAGCGGTGTTTGTACAAGTTCCATTCACGTGACAATCATGCCTGTCATCATTGCATTCATCAACATCTGTTTAGGAAGTGAACGTGAGTGTGATAAACTTTCAAAGGGACGGGTTAGCCTTTAATAAAGTCAATAGTACACAGAGTCCAGAAAAGTGAAGTTGCATGCAAACGAAGAGGCCGAAGGACAGACAATTAAAGAGCACTATACAAAGATCAAATGCTGCGACTGCCAGACCACCTACATTGGTGAGACCGGCAGAAACTTTAGCACGCGACTGACTGAATACAAACACGAGCGACAGGAAATGGTGATATTAAAAATCACAATACTGAACATCATTTACAGACAAGAGCAACGAATCGACTGGGTCTCTGCGACATGCATTAAGTATTCTACACGCCATGGCCACTATTAACGTAGCCTGCGATCCAGACGGCCCACGTTTCGCATATAGTGTGGTTTAAAGTATCTGCGCGCAGGCTACTATTAACAGCTCTCCTTAGAAAGCTGGTTTCCTAACTTAGAACAAATGTCACCCACAATGGTAGTAAACAGTTATCGGCATAGTACAAACGACTTATTGACGGTCTCAAGCAAGACTGACAACGAAAGAATTTGACTATCAATAAAAGACTGTTAAATTGACAAAAAAAGGTTCAATACGCACTAACGACACTTCGACTCTTCATAGCCAATGAAATCACGGCTTAACTGCCCGCTTAACTGAGAGACGACCAATAACATCACGACATAATTGACCAATCAGGTCAATAACCAGGGTTTAATACCATCAACGGGCGTGATGGTTGTTTATCGTTTACAAAAAGTCTCAGGAAAATCCGGCTGCAAAGTAATGAAAAACTAGTGAAATTATAGTGTACCATTTCTTCAAGATATCTTTGTTACCAGTTGCAGACCTTCGTGGCCTTTTTTGGGTGCAAGGAATGGAACTGATTTTTACAAATCGTAAACGCGATTCCGAAGCGAGATTTAGCAGTCCTGAATTTTGTGAACCATTTACCCAAACGGTGAACCGACCTGTTTTCCTATGTAAATGGTAAACAATCGATATAACTCACTTTGACTCTGAAGCTGACTACCGCACAGGTTGTCGAAACGTCACTCGCTGTCAACAACAGTCCTATTCAGGACTTCTCTCACCCGGACGATCGATGTTCAACTTACTTACGAAATGCACATTTGTTGGCAAAGTAAACAAACTTCTTAAGAACAATTATTATTCATTCAAAATATTTCCCCGATTCTAACTGGCTAAAAACACACGCATAATTCATCATAACCAGTTTCTGATGACCAAATTTGGAAGAATTTTGTGTTTAACGAGGAAATGACGTCAAAAATGCAGCGTTCGTGCGGGTTAAGGCACCGTTAACCGAGAAGACCTGGGGACGAGGTTGAGTTGTTTTGGTTGTGAAAACAAAAAAAATGGTGGACATTTCACTCGTTTCAAGAGTAAGAACTAGGCGAAAAAATAGCTAAAAACATGGCAAGAACAGCAAGAGGACAACTCGAAGGGCAACATCTGCTATTTGGAGAATATTTGCGGAGCTAGACAAACCTAAACGTGCACTATCGAAGATGAACTTAACATCGCTGGATCGATGGGGGTAAGCATGTTTTAGCCATGTTTTTAAACTAGCAATTATTTTGAATGAATAATAAAACAATTATTTAATTCGGCTTTTGTATCATATGAAGAATTATGGAGATCTCGGAGGGTGTTATCCGCCTCGGCCAACGGACTCGACGGATAACACCTTCCTCGATCTCCATAATTCTTCATAAGATACTCAGCCTCATTTATTTATTGTTAATTAATGACAATTAAATTATTCATTGTTATTATCACACGTGTGCGCATTTTTTTCCAATACTGACCTCTACTGCAACAGCTACTTAATTTATCTTTTGTAACCAACCTGTACAATTGCGTCCGTCTCCAAAGTATCCATCGTTGCATACACATTCAAAGTATCCAGCAGCGTTTAAACAAGTTCCATTCACGTGACAGTCATGGCTTCCATTTTTGCACTCATCAACATCTGTAGGAAGAGCAAAGAGAGATCAGCAAAATTGTTTTCTTTATAATTTTGGTTGCTTCTGAAGATGTGTTAAATTTGCCCGTATCTATTACTACTTACTTCGTCAGACAAATTTGCTTTGTTTTCTTTTTCTTTGTTTGTTTGCTTTTTTTCCTGAGGGCCGCTTTACGGGACTGTTTGGATCGCAGGACTTAAAACAGTAAAAATTAGTTGTCTTCAGTGCTTTTTTTACGTTCTGGGGAGGAGATTACACATTATACACATGTTTTTCTAGCTTTTTGTGCTTATCCCTTTTGATCTTTAAATAAGATAGAACGCCCCACTTTTAACCACATGTACTTAAAACCAGAGCCTGCCTTGGATTTCCTACGATTTTGATAGATCTTTATCCATTTCTTATCGTTTTATATTATCCTGATCAAATGTCCAAGCCTCGTTAGCATGAATGTGCAACTGAAAGGCAAAACGTCTATCTGCTCCCTTCTGACCAGTGTCAATAATTTGGTCAGTGGAAATTGGGGTCTGAGCTCAGTGGCGGATCCAGGGGCAGGGCCCGGGGGGCCCTTCTCCCCCCCCCCCACCATTATTTTTAGACCAAACGGAGGTCCGAAGGGTCGAAAAATATTTTTGGGAGATCGGGCCCTTAATTATCTTATTGTCTGAATGACTACCTGAACAATTGAGTCCGTCTCCAAAGTATCCATCGTTGCAAACACATTCAAAGGATCCAGCGGTGTTTGTACAAGTTCCATTCACGTGACAATCATGTCTGTCATCATTGCATTCATCAACATCTGTTTAGGAAGTGAACGTGAGTGTGATAAACTTTCAAAGGGACGGGTTAGCCTTTAATAAAGTCAGTAGTACACAGAGTCCAGAAAAGTGAAGTTGCAAGCAAACGAAGAGGCCGAAGGACAGACAAATAAAGAGCACTATACAAAGATCAAATGCTGCGACTGCCAGAGACCGGCAGACCTTTTTGACACCGGCAGAAACTTTAACACGCGACTGACTGAATACAAACACGAGCGAAAGGAAATGGTGATATCTAAAACCACAATGCTAAACATCATTTACAGACAAGAGCAACGAATCGACTGGGTCTCTGCGAAATGTATTAAGTATTCTACAGGCCATGGCCACTATTAACGTAGCCTGCGGTGCACCGGCCCACGTTTCGCATATAGTGTGGTTTAAAGTGTCTGCGCGCAGGCTACTATTAACAGCTCTTCTTAGAAAGCTGGTTTCCTAACTTAGAACAAATGTCACCCACAATGGTAGTAAACAGTTATCGGCATAGTACAAACGACTTATTGACGGTCTCAAGCAAGACTGACAACAAAAGAAATTGACTATCAATTAAAGACTGTTAAACTGACAAAAAAACGGTTCAAAACGCACGAGGCTGGCTGCTACCATTGCAATCACCTAATAGCAGCAGTCAGAGATATTGGAGATCGAATGGGAATTACAGTTGCACGTTACGATTTTTCAGAACCCCAGCAAGGAAAGGATGTTTGTGACAGGGTGCTTTGTCCCATGAAAGCAGCCATAAGAAAGTATTGCGCGGAAGGCCATGACATCATGAAAGTAGGAGCAATGCACAAGGCTCTTAAGGAACGACCTGTCAAAGGAACAACAGCGGCTGTAGCCATTTTGGATGAGTCATTCAAAATTCTTGAGGTTCAGAAGATAAAACAACTTAGTGAGTTGCACAACTTTAGATACGAAGAGAGTGGGATAAGAGTGTGGAAAGCTTACGCTGTTGGGGTCGGCAGGCTTATCCCTTGGCAATCTTTGCACATACGGCACCAGGGCTCAACAAATATATCATTAATGGAGGGAAAAGGATTCTTCGCCAACACAGAAATAAGAGACCTTCATCGCTCAAGAAAGTGTCAAGCAAGTAAAGACCACGTTGAAATTGATGATCAGCCATCAATGTTTGTGTGCCCTGAAGAAGGCTGTAACTGCACTTTTGACTCTTTCTCCGAACTTGAGTTGCATACAGACGTAGGAATACATGATAACAGGAAGTCGGAAAGTCTTTATGATAAAGTACGGAAAAACTGGGCTGAAAAATTTTCTTCTATTGAGAACCAGAAGTTAACAAGCAACAAATCCTCCACTGGTCTGACTGTTAACAGCACAAATTCTCGTCTAAGTATCGGATGGGCTCTTAACAAAGGTTGAACTGGCAGAGTTCGTTTTTCTGAGAACGTGAGACGGTACCTTACAACAAGGTTTGAAATGGGAGAAAGAACGGGCAAAAAAGCCAATCCAGAAGAGATCGAACGTCAAATGCGCAACGCCAGAAATGAACGGAATGAAAGATTGTTTCAAAGAGAGGAGTGGCTCATCAAGACCCAAATAATGGGTTTTTTTCACGCCTCGCTTTACGGCAGAGAACTCGCGGTCAGGATGCTACATCAAAGGAACAGACATTTGATATTACAGCAGATGAGAATGACGAAATCGACGCCCTTATTGGAGACTCTGATCGCAACAATTTGCTTGACGATATTCAAAGCAGAATTGGACTAGAGGATCCGATAGTATATGACACATATGATCTTTGCGCCTATCACAAGGAAGAAAAGCTACAGGCCTTCAATGCTGCAATGCTCAAGACTATTCTTCGGCACTTTGAAGTACCTTTCCAAGCAAAAGATAGAAAGGCAGGCCTTATTAGGTTGTTAACGGAAGTTATCCAAGAATGCAACTGCTGAATAGAGTCTACTGTCCCTTTTATCAAACAAAAGGGACAACAATATTTCTTCTTGTAACTGAACCAATTAAGCTTTTATTGTGCATTAGTCTTACTTAATTTTTTTTCCGAAAATTCTTTGGACTATATGACTATACTATATGACCTACTATTACTAAGTTGCTTAAGTTAAGGTATCTAAACATTGACTGTACACATTTCACCGTTTTCAAGCGAAAATAGCAATCAGTTGAGTCGTGATGGGAATTCATAAACATGTAATTAAAATGTGGACTAGACGTGAATAGACACCCTATTCTGGTTTTCGATTTCTCGGCTTTTGGGGTCCAATCCTCATTTTCACAACTTATCTTTAAGGACTACCGTGTACTCTCGTCCCATACAGCGTAAAGGTCAATTCGTGAGGAACTTGCCCGCTGTAAAATGTAAATACTTAATTTTACCTGTAAAGAAAATGTTCCCTAAAAACGCAACTGTGTCGAATAAAGCACGTACGGAAGGGCGAGACTAAGAAAGGTTAGTGGCAAAGGTAAGTAAATTTAATGGTCTACACTTCCGTTCAGTTTTCCTGTAAATAGAGTACAAAAAAAGTTTTTTAAGCTTAATAATATCAACAATTATAACAAAATCTTACAACAACCAAATGCGATGACCTTTCTTAAGTCTCGCCTGTGGCTATGCTTCCAATGAAAGCAATAAAACGATTTATTTAGTAAATGAAAATTAAGGTTTGGCTGCTAAACTTTTTAATTATTTTTCTGAAGATATATTTATTGAAAAAGGAAGAAGAGGAAGAAAAATATATTTTTTTTCCGTTAAAAAAACATATTTTTCTTCCGAGCGGCAAGTATTTGGAGAAATTTCCCGTCGAAGTAGCCCGTGTCACGCAACGCGAATTCTGCATCAATATGTAAATTTGAGTCGAAACTTTCAAGGCTGAATCGCGTTGTGCCACAAGTTTTATTGCATAAATTGATAGAATACCTCTTTATCTTTAACCAAAACATGTTTTTAGGTCTAGGTTAGGTGCCACTTTTAAGAATTTTGTGAAATTTCTGAGGCATATTTTGGTGCAGTTTGCTTACTTAATTGAATTACAAGAATAAAGATAACCTTTTTTTGCTGATTACAGAGAGATACAGCTAAATCGTATAGGAACAGTAAGAAGAAGCAATATACTTCCAAATGAGTGCAAATGGTCTAGGTTTTAAGGGCCCGCAGTAGCTTTTAACGATCGTTAAAAACCTGAATAACGGCGTCTAAAATTTCCATATTTTAGCCGGTAACGGTCGTTCAGAGATGAAATGCTGATAATGGCAGTAAAATAAACTATTTCCTCATTCTAACTGCATTTTCGTTATAAGGATGGATAGTGGTATTGATGATATAAATATAAGGCGAAGTGTTTTCGAGTCTGAAATCGAGTGGAACGCTTTTTGGGACATTGCCTCTTAATATCTTTGTACAGGTGACGTTTACGCGATCTCAGAGTACAATGCATGGCTGTACTCACCATGCATTCTTTAACGCTAGTTTTGTCACGTCTTTGGTAGAAGCATGGTCTAAAATTCGTTACGATGCTGTGTCCTTTGAAAGTCGGTTTATCAATCGCTTCAATGTAAATATGACTTCTGCGTTCTTCTGAAGCCTAAAGCGGCTCATGCGAAGCGGGTTTTTTTCAGTCTGTCGTTTAGACCCGACTCGGCCGGAGAATCCTTAGCGCAGCGCTTCTGTCGTGTCAAGTGGTACTCTGCCAACTGAGTTCTTAGAGCCTCGTTACATTTTTTTCCGGAATTTTTCCAATTCGAAAATTTCAAAACTACCCGCTGGCACCTCACACAGATTATCTGCGATACTCCCGTTGTATTATTTACATAGGACTACAAAGCTGAGAGTGTAACTAAATGTCGTGGGTCGTGGGTGTGGGTAAATGTCGTGGGTAAAAAAAGCATAGAAAAAAAAATTATTAAGTAAAGTATTTGAAAAAAAGAATAGAAAAAACATGTAAAATATTTATGAAACGAAAATCTCCGACCCCTTGATTGTCCGGCTTTTCACGGCTTCTTCTTCGCCCTCTTCCTAATATTTCCTTACCCACGTGGTACTTGCGTCCTCTTTCACTACATCACTGTATAAAAGATATGTTGCTGATGAAGATTTATCCATATCTGAGCGATGACTTTGTTTTCAGTAAACTTTTTTATTGTTCCTCAGTACTGGGGGAACACATCTAAACGTAACCTACACAAAACCGCAGTTGGTACAAAATTTTGCTGCCAGAGTTGTATTAGGTTTTAAGAAGTTTGACCATATCTCCCAGGGACGGAGATCTCTTAAATGGTTAGATGTTACGGAGAAGGTTCTATTTAATGACTTACTTTTAGTATTCAAATGTGTAAATGGCTTAGCTCCAGATTATTTAGGTAACTATTTTATTAAACGTTCAGCAGTTCACAACAAGAACACAAGGGGATGTAATGATTTTGTGGTCCCCCGATGTAGACTATCAATGGGACAAAGGGCATTTTATTTTCGGGGTCCAAGGAATGGAATGGGCTACCTGACAATATTAGGAACACTAAAGATATTGTTAGTTTTAAGAGGAGACTTTTTAATAGGATATTTCATACGAATTAATTTTGAATATATTTTAAATAATTTTGAATGTATTTTGAATTTCATTGAACTACTGTAAATAAGTTTTCTTTTCTTTCTTAACTACCAGTATTATGTAATAATTAACATTGTGACTGAAAAGCCCTGTTGAAGGGAGTCTCAATAAAGTATGTATGTATGTATGTATGTACGTATGACCGCGAAATAATCGAAACAGACGTAAAATATGTCTAAACGTGCAATTTGCAGAAAGTATGGGACAGTTCTGACTGGCTGAATGGAGATAGCTGCTTCAACCTCCTGCCCAGGGATGGTTGTAGCTGCTTATATACTATAATTAATCTTAATTCGATCAACGTATACAACCCAATGATCAGCGGAGATTTTTTAAATGGAGAGGTTCACGGTTCAGCGCATGCTCGTTAATCAAAATGCTGTTTTTCTGCAGGGACTTTCTGTATCGTCTGTGAAAGCAATATGATGATGTCATAATAATGTCAAAGAACCAATCTGCACACTCCCCTGGTAGTTACTTGATCAACTTAGGTGCAATTAGTTGTAAATTAATCAACAATAAATTCAACGTTGGTAGTGTTGCCACAATCCACTAATTTTTCTGCGATTTTAGTGCTCCTCCATCCCACTTCAGGTTACTCTGAAATACATTTCTACGTTGAAATACACTCTGAAATCGCTGAGATACATGTGAGTGGGATTATTAACCGATAGAATTAATAATAAATTGGAAAAAAAGTAATTTAATTTATGAGCATGCGCTAAACCGTGAACCTGTCCCTTTAACACGATAGAATGTAATCACCGTGGGAAAGGGGATGGAAGTGAGGAAAAAAAAAACAACAACAACAATTTTGAGCTATTTCATATTTTTGGATAGAAGTCTTTCTTAAGGACGTTTTAGGTCTCTTAGCTTACGAAGGAACCACTTTCATGCTCAATCTTTCAAGTTAAGGCTAGACTGTATGTAAACTTAATTTTTCGCCGTACGGAAATATAATATTCTCGATTCTTATTTGTTTTGTTTTGTGTATAGAATCTTTGCTGTAACGATTCTGAATATCATTCCTTAAACTGAAAAGGACGTTTCAGTCACGAATGTTAACATCTTTGAGAAAAAGCAATTCAGTCTCCAGTTTTTCTTTAGCCTGCTTCAGGTTTAAATAGTGTACAGAGTTTCTTTTATTTCTCGCTTAAATGTCTTTTTGTGTCCGTTTGTACTAAAGGGTTCGCTTATTTGCCTTGCTGACCGCAGGGAAGGGGAATAGGACCCCTGCTAAGCGGAGATTTTCGTTTTATGAATTTTACAACTTTTTGCTATTTTTTTTTTTTTTTTTTTTTTTTTTTCCCCCGACTTTTTCCCCCACCCCCCACCCCCCCCCCCTCCCCCCTCCCAACCCCCGCCCCACCCAATTTAACACCACCCCCCAAATCAAAGGTTATATTGAAAATTTTTACCTTTTTCTCTGAAGTAAATTGTTTCTTTTTTTTTCTTTTTTTTTTTTTTTTTTTTTTTTTTTTTACCCACGACATTTACCCACACCCACGACCCGCGACCTCTACCCACTACGTACCCACGAGCCACGACATTTAGCAACACTCGTCAAATACGAGGTTATATTGACAATTGTTGCCTTTTCATCTGAAGGTAAGTTTTTCACTTTTTTTCGGATTGCAAGACATGTCCTGCTTTAGACCATGTCATGAATTGCCCCACAAGGTTAGCAGACGGATCATATAGATTACTACTCTAAAGTTGCCATAGTAACGACCGCCCGAAAGTTACCATCCCCCCGCCCCGAAAGTAACGTCAAAAGTTAGTGACTTCTAATAA